CCTTGTTGCTAATCCTTTGTATCCATCTTATCTTCAGTATTGACCAAAAGCATCTGTCAATAAGAGTCTGCTGTAGCCTGCTAAGTCTCTGAAACATATTGAATCAGTGATTGGGTCATATTTCTTGTGCTAAAAGAAGTAGAATTCCATACTGACGTCAGAGTAATAGAGATTTTCCTTGCTTTTCCTATCCTGGTCTTAATAATTTCAATTAGACCGCCCTTAGTTGAAACGATACCGCCTAGGTGAGGTGAGGGAAGATGACAATCAGTTATAAATTTCTCCCGTTGAGGGTGACTGATGCTTGTTACTGGTAGATCAGGCTAGGATAACTAAATGATAGTTTTAAGTACATAGCAAACGTAAGTTAAACCGATTGTCCATTAATATATATGTATATCAAATTTAGTTTAAATTATTACAACAGGTGTCCTTCTTTAGTCTTTCATAATTGATGCTCACGTATTCAATTTGATTGTCATAAGAAGCAGTTATAACTGCATTATAAGAAAGGTGAAAGATATCATTTGACCACTTACAAAACAAAATATTTGGTATCCTTATGTTCTCTGCTAAGAGAGACAATTTGATTACAAAGCTTTTATTTGCCTCCTAGACAACCTATTCGGCGCTAATGTCAATTTGAATTTAGGTTTCAAAATTTTCTGCATGCAAGATTGATTGTCTGTTCCTGGAGACTTTTTCAGCTCTGACTTTGTCTGTTTTAGTCTTGGTCGTCTTGTTGGCTCAATATTTAACCTTATGATCATGTGAAAAATTAAATGCACATGAGCATGTCTTTTAACTGTAGATTTATCTGAGTACCAAGTCTCTGATAAGATGCTCTTAAGAAGAGTAGTGGGAGTTTCTCAATCAAATCATTCAGCTCAGATGATATAAAACAACCCTTAATGCATCCCCTGGAGATGGAAATCTTCTTCTTTATTCCCATGGAATATTCGCCTCATCTCTGCCCAATAAAAACAATGAATTATTGGAAGACTGCCTATGGTGAATCGAACGATTTCAATGTGAATTTAGTTGCTACGCTTTATCACGTTGGAAAGTGTTGAGAAAAGGAATGAGCAAAGGACAACAAAAATCTTTCACAACAATTTTCAGTTATTCAGAACTGTTTAAACTTCTGTACAAAACCTTCGAATATCTAAAAGCTTCACTCTCAGGTTCATTACGGTCCACTACCAACATCTGGAGAGCACCTGCAACAGTTTAAACCAGCTGTCTTTCATAGCAGTCACAAGTTTAAAAATGCCAAACCAAGCAGCCAGTCTACATTGACCAAAATAGTCTACAAATAGTTTGAATAGTTGATGGACGATAAGGTGATTATACTGGTACGCCCTAATAAAGTTATGTACGAAGTTGACTATCCCACCTCACGAATCCAAATTTACAAAACTGGTCAATTAAAAACATATAACAAAGCAAACTGAACAAAATTTAACGGACACTATCTGAGAGCTGAAGACTGAATCGTTCATCGAGACTGGAATGTTTAAATCCCAGTGGACAACTGGTTCAAACATACCCTGACTGTATAGATTGAATGTTGTGTCACTAAGTTAATAGAAACTTAGTGATTCATTGACTTAATTTATGTCACAACAGAAGAATAATATGCATTAGCATACAGGTTTAGGCAAACGTTAAGCAACTGCCAGTTGAACTGACGCTATCACGCTGTGTCTTTAACTCTACAAAACCGATGAAAGTCACAGGCTGCAGATTTATTGCTGTAGTCAAGCAGCATACTCCATTTCTGTCTTAGTAACTTTTTGAAGACTGCTTCTATCAAATAATCTGAAATAAGAGGAAAACTGTACTTCTCTTCATGGTTTTGCTACTAAGCACTAAATGATTCTATGTTACACATTGCAACAACGACATAGACTCTCCAAGAAATAAGATGCCCTGGTTGAATATATATTCGACAGTCCTACATTCTTGCTAAATTATTTTTGAAACCAGACTTCTAATTACTCACTTGATCTTGAGAAGAAAGTAGGTAATGAGATATTACCACGTTGTACACATAATCACGATGTCTATTAATCAGGCTTGTTGACCTAATTTTTTTCAACATAAAATAATGTGCATCAATGCATAATTTGAGTCTGTTGAAAGCAGTCAGTGAATGTCTGGCCAATATGTAGACTGCCCCAGACATTCTACGTGTTTAGTGAGAGCTTATTACAAGAGACTGATTTCTACAAATCTGTTTGTCTGCCCAAGAGTAGGAAGCCAGGAAGAAATGTCTGTCCAGTACTCCTTCCGTTTTGATATTTTCTTGATTTATATCAACTCTTGAGCAACCCACACCAAAACTGTGTCCGAAGATGGAGAGTTTATTTTTACTGCATACCAAAAGTGATCACGAATCAATAACACATTGATATTAAGAAGTTAGATTTGTGAGTAATCAGCTGTTTTCAAGGCTCACTTATCACTCCATCAGCGTGCTATGCATCAGTAGTTCAGTGTTAGGATGATTACCAAGCAAGATTATGGTCCGGGTTCAATAGTTTTACGACGCACTCCTCAATTTCACCTACCCGACAGTAAGCCTAGGAAAGAGGAAAGATTGGGTTTGATGTTAGTGATTTCAGATGGTAAAGTAAGGAAACACCGTCAGTACTGAAACTTAAAATATTTGGAGCTTTGTGCTCCACTTAGAAGGCAAGGAATGAAGAAATACATGAGCCCATTTGTGGTATCAACAACAGCTTTCCTAGGTGCTTAGAAATAGCGTGAACTTCACTTTGATATGGTTAAAAAGTAATTTTCATATTTCGACTTATGCATTTAGAAAAGCCATTACACTGAGCGAAGAAATACGCATTCCTTTCCGATTAGTTCCTCATCATCGACTAGCTATACACTAATGTACAGCTGTTTAAATCAAAGTTCTTTTACCAGTCAAGTGGTTATTTTAGTTAATCAGTTTTAGGTACAGGGATCGGGTGAAATTAAGGGCTTAAAAGTCACCAACATAATTACCTCATAGACGTTAAGAAGAGATCTAAGTTTTGAAGGAAAGGTGGAAATTAATTGTGGAATTCAAGATAAGTTAATTCTTAGGTGTTAACAACAAGTTATTACATAATCAAGGAATTCGTAAAATAACAATTTTGACTAAGAAGGATAGGATGTCTCAGAAGAATTACGTAAAGTACAAACAAGCTAATAGAGGTAGCTAAAATTGTAAAAATTAGTGTGAAAATAAAAAGGGGCAATGCTGTGTGACAACGTTTCTAATTTCGTTTACTCACTAACTGACTTTAAAGAGTACTGGGCAGTTCTTCTGACCTACTTTAGGATGAAACAAGCAGTACTCACCTACAACCTTACAGTGGATGGAGCAGATAACTTTAAAGTTTATTCGCCAACAAATTCACCACCCACCCACTAGGATGGAGTCTGATAGCTCATGAGTTTTGGAGTCTGTCAGTTAATCTAATGCTCACTATTGACTGACTACAGAATGAAGTCTCCTAGTGTTCTAGCTACCGGTGGAATGCATTAGGTCGATTGTCAAGACAAAACTAGCCGATGAAATTGACTGGTGATGGTGCTGTAAATGGCAGAAGTTGGAATTCATAGGCTGGTCATAGCAGAACCTGAATGTTCGATGAGTTTGACTTGTAAACTGGAGGTCCTCAGTCCGGTCCCTAGCATAGTGTTGATTTCGTCTCAAACAATGTCGGAACAACTATCCAGTGCCCCATGTCGGCTTTTGGGGGTTCTGTTATGTACTAGTTTCCCCGTCGCCAAATTGTTATGTTCTAGTTTCCCCGTCGCCAAATTGTTATGTACTCGTCGCTAAGTTATTGTTATGGACTGGTCGAGAAACTAATAGTCCTGACGATAGAAGGCGGAAATCAGAAGACCACTAGGTTTGCGATGATACTTCTATTCCAAACACAAGGAGACGAAAATAAATGGTCTCACACCAAAGTGGCAAATAAGTAAAGTAGTTGTAAAGTAGTTCACACAAATTGTGAATGCGAATATATATATAAATAATTCAGACAAGCGTGGGAAAAATCATTAGACAGTCTTAACATGAATGGCTAATTATAATGGAGTGTCGATCCAATTATACATAGCGAATATAGCAGACATGCCAACAAACATATATGGATATATGTCACCAAGCAACGGACTGTCAACAAACACTCATATTATATATAATATAATATAAGGAGAATACACATTATTAAAGGAGACAAGTCCATACAAGTGAAGTGGTCACAGACTAACCGAGCAAACAGAAAGAGAGACCAACATGCACACACACACATAAATATATATATGTGGATACATATCAGGTTCTCTAACTAATATCATTATGTGGTTAGTCTTGAAATCAGTTATATCAATGAGAAATAACAGTTGAAAATTTCCAATCTAATCAAACCCCTAAGATATAGCACATGAAAATTGTAGTCTATATCATATGAGATGACTAAAAGTCAGTTATAGAAGGATTCAGACCAAATAAAATATCATCTGCTTGAAGAATTAGTTAAACAGACTCTAAGCAAAACTTATATCGTATCAAGACGATTATTCTTTTCATGTTAACTAACTAACTCACACTTCCAGACATACATCACTAATATTTTACCATACTTATTGACTGTCACAAGTAAGATAAATTAGTGCCTCCGATTTTGAATTGTCTATACATACTGAAATACATTAATAACCTGATATGACGTTAACTTAAGAGTTGTCGATTTTATAAGAATTTAATTAATTTTGAAGTGGATTTCATCGTGAAGTATCATCAACAAGAGAAATAGAGACAGAGCATGTGTGTGTGTGAGTGAATACAAGCTATGGATTTATGGCTTAACGTATACTGGTTAAGAAATCTTCAAATGTGTATAACCATCGGTCTACACTGGATCGTGGCTTGTCTCAACATACTTCTGGTCTTCATGTGATTAAACAAAGTCATTTTGAATAAATATAAAATGAATGTTCTTAATTTCTGCCAAAAACTCGTGACTTAAAATTTTTCTCGCAGCTGAATAGTTTTAAGATGCTAAATTCTGAAAATTTACATAGGCTGGAGACTTTTATGAACAAGTACCTTGGCTCTTCACTGAAATTCAGATGGCTTCAGAAGATTAGCACCAAGAAAACTCCAACAACTAACCAACCAGGGACCTATCACGCAATAGATACTAAAGAAATGAAGATGAATCAGACACTTACTGAGGTTACCGTTGAGTGACATCACACTCCAGGCCTGACAGTGGAATCCTAATGGGGAATGTCGAGATTAGTGTCTGAGTATGAAGTGGAGGAGATTGGACCATATGAGCAATTGTGAAACCAGATAAAGTGGACTGTGGGGAAGAGAATGAAATGGATATTGATATAAGTATAAAACTTGGGCACTGTGGTAGAGTATAATTCAATTATAGATAAGATTTTTATTTTGATAAATCGCAGTGTTTACAGTTATATGAACTGATGACGTTTCGAGCACAATTTATTGCTCATAATCATATCAAGGTAATCACACGACTTCCTAAATTCATTTATATAGTTCCATTGTTTTTCTCTTGATTTTCACTTGATTTGATTGGTAATAGTATTTTCCATATTTCAGGTATGAGTGACGAGTCATTCCTATTGCATGTGTTGGGTGTAGACTCGATGAACAAGGATTCAGTAACCAACCTCTCTCTCCACCTATCTAGATTACTTTTTAGAATTTTAACCCTCTCCCATCCTATTGTGTGGTTGTGTGTTAGCGCATGCATTGCAATTGCTGAGCTTTTTTCTAAATTATTTATCTTCTCGGGGTCAACCATTCTTACTCAGGGACAAGCTCTGTAGGTTAAAGGACCCAGTTGACCCAATTAGACAAAATAATATTATTTACAAAATACCATGCAATGACTGTGAGGTCAACTACATAGGTCAAACTAGTAGGTCAGGGGTAGTCAGATTGTCAGAGCATAAAATTTAGCTAAGGTAAGAATGGTTGACCCCGAGAAGATAAATAATTTCGAAAAAAGCTCAGCAATTGCAATGCATGCGCTAACACACAACCACACAATAGGGTGGGAGAGGGTTAAAATTCTAAAAAGTAATCTAGGTAGATGGAGAGAGAGGTTGATTACTGAGTCCTTGTTCATCGAGTCTACACCCAACACATGCAATAGGAATGACTCGTCACTCATACCTGAAATATGGAAAATACTATTACCAATCAAATCAAGTGAAAATCAAGAGAAAAACAATGGAACTATATAAATGAATTTAGGAAGTCGTGTGATTACCTTGATATGATTATGAGCAATAAATTGTGCTCGAAACGTCATCAGTTCATATAACTGTAAACACTGCGATTTATCAAAATAAAAATCTTATCTATAATGGAATGAAATGGATATGTGTTGCTGAAGCCCCATATCTCACTCGAAACCCAGGTAAATAATAATCAACTCCGTAAAGGAAGACAACCCAAACAAAGCAATATTACAACGAACGAAATGTGAGCGTGATGAAGAGAAGAGAAAATGTCCCCAGTCAGATTAATTAAGGCTGAATACATCTGAATGAGTTAGTCTTAACTATTTCACTGGGAAGTTTCAGTCGCTAGTCTATCTTAGTAACCCGATGAATTCAAGCAGAAAATCTGCATCTGACTGGTTGCGTTTCAAACGTTATATCACAGAATTTAAGGATCTTTATCATGTTTTCCTACTGTCCAGTTATATGTATCTTTTCTTAAACTTAGTTCTGCATCGACTTACATGACCTGTAGAGGAGATTGAGAATGTGAAGGATTTATCACTATTTTTTAAATTTTATTCATTTACGTCCCCATACATAAGACTCCAAGCTAGAGCTATGAAGTTTCGGTAGCAGTGAGGCTTACTTTTACGGGATGGGGTTGCTAGCTTCATGCTCAACCTTCCCTGTCTACCAGTATTATTACTATCTCATCGAGGTAAAGGAATGCGTCGGTCGGGGACCGAACCCGAACCATCAGCGTGGTTGGCAAGCATTCTACAGCTGTACCAACAAAGCACGTCTCACTATACAAAACATATATTCTAGGTGATACATTTATTTACGTATACGTAGTACATCCAATGTACTTTGATGGCCAATTGGTAGGTTACTCGCTCTCTCATGCACATAGCCGCGTTCAATTCCCAGCCGTCCTACCCACTACTAAATCTCGCCTAGCCGGTGGTAAGCCGGGTAAACAGGAAATGTTGGGTTTGAGGATAGCAACTCTATCCTGAAAATTACACAACGACCACTGCTACTGAAACTCCAAAGCCTTAAGCTCCAGGTTTCACTTAGAACGCAAAGGAATGAATAAAATGTATACAAAATAAGGTCTGTAGAGAAGTCATGATAATTTGTATGTGTATCAGTGGAAAAGCTAATGAATAAATGCAAGGAGAAGGTAATAACATCTACAATAGCCTAATGGGAAATAGACAATGACGGAATTATTATTTATCTTCGCTTATTTTGTTCACTTGATATTACATTATTTCGGTGACCGTCACTTGTCAGTATCGAAGGAGAATTGTGGCACTTATAAAAGACTGAGTGATGAGTGAAACCAAGAGAGATCTTCAGTATCGATTTCTTCACTGGCTAACATGTTTACTGATGGCATCGATTAGCGGTGGCTTTATATTTCATGCTAATAGCTACTGGATTACGCTCTTAAATGGCTGAATGATCAACGGAATCACTTCGTGATGTGAAGATCCTAGGTTCGATAATTTGTGGTATGGTTGGCATGCATCTCGAAATAGTCACAAACTAGAATGAAACACACCTCCAGTTTTTTATGGTTCTCAGTAATTCTTTAAATGTTATCAGTTCGTGATGGTTAGCACTCTCGCCGACCATGCATATGGTCTGGGGTTCGATCTCCGGCCGACGCACACCTGATATCAACGGTTGGCCTGGAAAATTTGGGCTACCGATATCACATGCTGAAAATCCCATACATGTACCAAAATACTGTGTGAAATCAACCTATAATCAAAATTTTTAAAAAAAAATATGTTTTGTGGTATGTCCGTAGATATGCATGACTTATTTTTTGAGACAATTCATATGAATGCTGGTAGGATAAACCAGTTTAATCGCACAATGATACACGTATTAAGTGGGTAATTATACATTGGTTTTAATGAGAAGCGAACAAACTGAACCTAGCCTCTTGCAAGACTAGAACGGTATTTAACATCATCCTGTGATACGACCACCTTGGTGGCCTCTCCCCCGGTGAACCATTTGCATTAGTAGTAGATATATTCATACATGGATAAGCATAATTATTTCCATTAGTTAAAATCGGTTGATTTATGGTTTCTAGCAGTAAAATCCAAGATGTTCTTTTTAGGTGGAGTATTTCAGTCCTATTAAGACTAGTCAGTGGCAGAATACGAAAGAAGTTTCCACTAAGTACAAAAAGAAATGACTTGTATTAATGTAAAAATGACGAATACAAATGATGACGATGATTCTTAGATTTTGTTTGAAACGTCACATGTGAAAATGCGCCAAAAATAATAAACAAAAGTAACAGTAAGCAATAATAATATTGATAGCAACAATAATAATAAAATCAACCAAATGTTTTTTGATAAGATGGAATGTTGTTTAGTCTATATACTATGGAAAGCTTACAGCTAATAAAAAAGGAATGCTGATCTGAAAATTACTCCAACTTCGATAATCACGTGTAAATGATTATTAAACATTATAAAGTAGTTTTCAATCACAAAGGGATATTAGTGAGAACAACTGCTAGAGATCTGTTTCCTTTCGAGTACTGTAGATACTGTTTTGTGCTCCTTGATTGTATAATGATGAATATCTCCCCGTGTCACGTGGCAGGCTAGACTTCGATTCCCCTTTAGAGGAGCTGCCTTGTATATCGATAGCTCAATAGTGAAATGCTCACCAACCACACATATAGTCCGGTTTCGATTCGTAGCTAATGCACTGCTAAACCTCTCCAAATTTACTGGACGATGGTAATCCAGGAAAAGAGGGAATCTTCAGAGTGAATTCAGCATCCCACCTCTGTATAGACAACGCCACAGATACTGAAACTTTGTTTGATTACAGCTTGATTCCACACTGTATTTTCGGTACAGGTATGGAATTTTCAGCGTGTGATATCGGTAGCCCGAATTTCGCACGCCGACCATTGATATCAGGTGTACGTCGGCAGAGGAATGAACCCCAGACCATGTGTATGGTCGGCGAGAGTCCTAACCACTGTGCCACCGATGCACTTTAAAAGCTTCAGGCCTTGTATTCCTCTCAGAGCACAAGGAACGAAAAAACATAATGCTTACTGAATGTTGGGTTGAAGCTATGTATCGTGTTTGTTGGCATTCGTCAGCAAGGCATATTTGCAACTGGTTACACTCCCTCCCAGTAAGCAGTTATCAGAACTTTTCTAGTCCTGTTGCAGTTCAATTGTGAGAAAAAATAACTCATTGTATGATGCAGGTTTAAATCTCAGAGTGAACATCAATTACTCCTACGCTGGAGATACACCAGGTTGACACATGACAAGAAACAAGAAACAGAAATTCATAGATTCTTGTGAATATCCTCCAATCATATAACAGTAAAATCATACTGAAGTGGGTTTGTGAGTCATCTAGATTCAAGACTACTACTACTACTACTACTACTACTACTACTACTACTACTACTACTACTACTACTACTACTACTACTACTACTACTACTACTACTACTACTACTACTACTACTACTACTACTACTACTACTACTACTACTACTACTACTACTACTACTACTACTACTACTACTACTACTACTACTACTACTACTACTACTACTACTACTACTACTACTACTACTACTACTACTACTACTAC